TTCTTTTTTTTTTTTTTTTTTTTTTTTTTTGGTACCAGGGATCTAACTCAGGTCGGGATGGAACTCGGGTCCTTGTGTTTGCAAGGCAGGTAGTTACGTCCAGTTTTAAAACCCACTCTTTCTAGTGCTCTGACTTTACCTTTCTCTTTATAAATTCCTCTCTCTCGTATTTACCTTTGGTTCTTTTGTGGCTGCCTTGGTGACAGCGTGTTATATTTGTGTCTTCTTTACTCGTGATGACCCGTCCTCGTTAACAGGTCACTTTGTTCATGTTTTAAATTCTTCTGTCCAGTCCAGGGCACCCCCCCACCCCGCCTCTGCACTCTGCACTGCTGCTGTGGAAAAGGGCTTGAGGTTGGAGCCGCTGCTTAGTGAACATGGGGTTCCATGAAGCAGGACCAGGATGAGACAGAGAATGAGGGACTGGACCTGGGAACTGTGTTCTTTTGATTGTATTTGTTTGAAGCTGATGTTTGTGACAATGTATTTCCCTCTAAGGTTGGGTTAAACCTACAGTTCTAGTTTATGGCAACCCCAAAACAAAACAAAACAAAAAAATTGCATTTTTCTTATAGCAAGGACAATCAGCCAGGGCTATAGTGTAAGTACCTCGAGGGCCACACATGCTGGTACTTTTTTTTTTTTAACTAATGTCTCCCATTACTGTTTTCTAAATCCTTCAACCTTTTCTCACCAGCAACTGTAACAGTTTAAGAGCAATGAGAGTTCTAGCCCAGTTCGGAAGCCCTTGATTTTCCATACCTCATTCCAGAGCTGAGCACTTAGAAACATTCAAATAACTTGCTGAATGCCAGCCTAATAAAATAAAAGTATGGTTCTAACAGAATCCCTTTCAAACCACTGAGGATATTCATTTACTGCCTCGAATGACTGTGAGCAGTGCTCCTTCACGCACTCGTGTTGAAAAACATTTTGCATTATACATTACTTCCCTCTACCACTGTTCTTCCTTGCAGATTGCCCGTTACCTCTAATGAACTCTCCGCCTTAGCTAGATCTGGCATCACAACCGCAACAGAGGAAGTGTGGGGATGCGGGGCTTCTCGTTGGTAATTGAAAGCAGAGCAAACACCACACAACTTTCCCTTTGCAGCTCTCGCCTCTGGCTGCTGGACTGTTGCATGAGCCTCCCCTGCACTGAGCTGCTCATACTCAGGGCACGCACCTGGAGCAGTGGCACTGCGGACAGCTGGGGACCGGGACACTGGCACGACAATGAAATCATGCCCGCTCAGCACTTGGAAAAGTGCCTCACAAGAGCTCTGAACAGGCAGGTGCTCATTTCAAAGAATACAATAAGCTGGGCGTGGTGGCGCACACCTGTAATCTCAGCACTAAGGAGGCTGAGGCAGGAGGATCGCTGTGAGTTCGAGACCAGCCTGGGCTACATAGTGAGTTCCAGGTCAGCCTCAACTACATAGTGAGACCCTGTCTCAAAAAACCAAAAAAAAAAAAAAAAAAAAACCAAAAACAACAACAACAACAAAAACAAATGAAAGAATACAATAATAGTATCAAAACATTTTAAGCTAAGTACAGCTATATCCTTCAAATGAAAAGAACTGTTGTTTCTCTCAATAATGATAGAGTAGAAAGGTGAAACGTGCACGTAAGCCACAAGTGCAGAAATAAACCCGATCAGTGTTACTCAGGGACTGTGTGCTAATATGACATGAGGCACAATTTCTTTTCCCCAGCACTGTCAAACGCTACCTATGTAGAACTGAAACTACTAGAAAGTGGCCAGCCACCTCTTTACCACACCACGGTCAGTAAAAATAGGTAGCAAAAGCAGCAGATTCAGTGAAATACCTCCCAAAGTTAGCCAAAGATCATTATAAATTGCTTCCACTTTTGCTGATCACTAGCAAAAAGACAGAACTGGACTCCTGGGACGCAGCCCTGATGGCGGAATCAGAATTTAACAAGGTTCTTTCCTACCCTCAGGCACATGGGTGCACATGATAGCTTGAGACACAGGTAAGGTTTCACTAAGCTTACACCTTCCACTTCTATGCTCTGCACAGCCATGAACACAAGGTGTCACGTGACGGTAAGGTGTCCTGCGGACTGACCTGTCACCTTGACGAGTGGCTCCTGCAGAGTGACTGGACCATCAAGAGCTATCTCCCAGCTGCGTGAGCTGTTAGGAGGTGGGCCCAGCCTGTCTTCCCTCCCTTCTTCCCTACTGAGCTCTGCTTTCCAGTAGCCAGGCAGGGAGCAGCTTTCCCCACCACCTTCCCCATGCCCACCATGGACTGAAACCTCTGAAATGAGGAGCCAAATAAACCATTCCCTCCTTTAAATTGCAGTTGTTGGTATCTTGTCCTAGCAGTGGGATTTGTGACTAATAGTCTCTAATATCCTTAAAGTGGCATATAAAACTATGAGTTTTATTATTTGGTGTTTTTTATACATGAAATCTTTTTCCATTTCAGCAAGCACAGTAAAGATAGGCAGGAGGAAACAAAAAGTAGTGTAATACAGTATTTATGTTTGTGGCTTCTGGAAGAGAGTGTCAGGATGCTAATACCAATTCCACTACTTAGTGTGCAATGTGCAATTTAGGGCAAGCTACCTAGCTTCTCTGTGCCTCTTTCTCACCCCTAAAATGGAGACAGAATTCTTTACAATAGAAAAAAATAAATCTAAATCTACATCAACATGTGAATGAATAAATGATAGTGTTTTAATAAAACATGTAATAAACAAGTCTACACACACTAAATCTGGTAAATATGATACTGCATTAAAATAGTTCAGAACAGCAATAGAGAATGGTTTAATTTTCACTTTAAAATTATCTATGTACACTTGACCACAGGTATGTATCTATCTCAGCAAGACATATATATACATATACGCATCTATAAAACCCTGATGAGCTTAGGGTACACCAACTGGAGACAAATCTGCAACAGTAATAAGAAAGACTTGTTTTCTATAGTTTAACAATGACTGAATTTGTTATAAACAAGATCACATGTTGTTAAAATTTTATTCATATTATATAAAAGAAAAAATAATAGAATATAGAAAAACACGAAAAGTAACAGCTCCAAGTAATTAACATGCTCAGCACCCTACAATTTCTTTTCCACTACTTCAGTGAGAGCAGTTATCAGGCATAAATATAAACATCTATAAACTAGAAAAAAAAGAAAAGAAAAAGAAAAAGATTTTTCTTATTTTACTATACTTAAGGAAAAAGTCCAAAATCCTAACAAGTCTTGCAAAGCTTTCTTGTTATCCACTTTTCCATCCTACCTCTTCTTTTCCATAATGATGGATTTCTTTTAGCAAAGTTTCAGCTGTCTCTCCAGCCTTTGGACTTCCTTTATCATTGCTGTATTTCTTTAAGGAGGAAACTCTTAATTCCCTGCACAAGGCTAGTCACTGTAAAGCCTGTGAAAGACATGTGAATACAAATCAGACCCCGGATCATAGCTCATAAAACTGTGGTTCCTGAGACAAAGGTAGTGAATGATGTGGGCCCTATGCCTGCACTGGCTTCCTGCCTGGAGATTCCCTGGATTCTAGTGCATAGAAGGGTCCTAGGTAGTGTGGAGATCTTGCCAGGCTGGGGACAGAGACAGGTGTTATAGTAGCTGAGGCAGCAGGAAGGTTCACAGTAGCAGGGAGGGAGGTGCCTTCCATAACCAAACAATACCAAAGCACACAACCGCAAAAACCTGCATTTGTGTCAGGGTCCACATCTCAAGCTAGGTGCTAAACTATCATGTAGAAGGGAAGACTTTACGAGGCCAGGCTGAGAACTACCACTGGATGAAGGGGGGTTACACACCCCAAGCTGGAAGATACATCTGGCCATTCTGACCAGAAAGTGTGAGATGTGTTGTGGGGAACACTTGGGTGTCCCTGCAGGAAGTGGTGCTCCCAGCTGCCTGACAACTCTGAAATAGGATTCTCCTGCAGCCTGCCGGTGGGAGCACAAAGTAGGGCATGGCTTTGAAAAGGAGTTTCTTTTCAAGATAAACACATCCTGGGTGAGAGAAAATCTACCAAAAAGAGGAATTCCCAAAACACAGAGAACTCTGGAGGAGGCCAGACAAATGATTTTACACTGGATAACCCTATTACATAGTTTCAGAACAGGAGAAATCATAGTGGTCACCTGGGGTGGAGGTAAGGGTGATTGACCTGCAAGGGTCATGAAAGAACTTTCTGAAGTGGTGGAAATGGCCCACAGCTTGACTGGGGTGTGTCACATGGGTGTGCACGTTGGTCAAAATTCATCAAAATATAACCTCAAGATGTGCACATTTTACTGTGTGCAAATTAAACCTCAATTTAGTCGGTTTAAAAAACAAGTAAATGAAAAGGTAGACAGTCTGGACTTCGAGCATGATTTCTGAGATCTAGCTTCCCTTCCCGTTGATTCTGCCGGCCACATCCTGCTTCCTCTCAACCTGTGGGCTCCAGCCATTACATGCAGAGAAAGAGTACTCAGGTCCCGTCACTTGCAACAGT